TGGAGAGCGTGATAGGAACGTGAGTTGCACACACTGGCCCTGGGGGTGCCCTGTCATTTTTGTCACTCCCACCGAGAAAACATTGCTCCTGGCGCGTCTCTCCTGGCAGTGGAATCTGAACTCTGCGCCCCGGATTCCGCTGGGTGTTGCTGAGCCTGGGCCGGGGCTCCCGGAGCGAACATCACTGCGAGACGAAAGGGTCGGGTTGTTTAAGAACTCTGTCCCCTCCCATTCTGCAGCCTGCCCTGTGCCCCGACATGCAGCTTCGTCCAGACGCTCTGCGTCTCAGGACTTCCAGCGTTGTCCCATCTCGGCGCAATAGGCGGGAGCGTACCAGGGAGCTCTGAGACGCCGGCTCCATCAAATCCGCTCACCGAGAGCTCGCAGCGAGGGGCTGAAGCGTCACCCTGATAGGAAGGCAGCGCTGGTGCTTGGGCAGCTGTCCTCGAGGTGGCTCCTGGAGACTACATGTCCCAGCATGCAACACTCCGCCCTGCTGCAAATAAAAACTGCTTGGCTCAGGATGGAGCACTGCATGCTGGGATCTCCAGTCTCCATGGGCTGGGTGGGTGCCCAGCTGGACTTGCGAGCAGGCTGGTGTTTCCAGACCAGCCCTGGGAGGAGACGCTGGGCAGATCTCTGCCTTTCCAGCCAGTCCTGAATGGTGCAGTCCACTAACATACTCAGGCAGGCCTGACACCTGCTAGCCAGAGACCAATACGCCAGACAAAGCGGGAGGAGAGTGTGTAGTGCCCTGGTGCTCCAGCCCAACCCTCCAGCTGCCAGGGACGGAGGAAAGTGCTGGGAAGGCTCCCAACAGGTGCTGTCCTTGTGCCTGTTCTGGGGCGTCCGTATCCGGCCTGTGGGGGTCTGCTGGAATCCATACGCCCCCTGCTCTCTCATCTCCCCTATGCAGATCCCCCGACGGGGAGAAGAGTCTCCCTCGCGCCGCCTCCCCGGCCTCGGGGTTGTGGGCTCTGCTCCCGACGACGCTCCAGCCGTGCAATTCATGACAGCCTCCCTGCTGGTGCCAGCCAGGGGCTCAGAACAGCAGCAGGGAACGCGGCCGGAGTCTTGCTAATCGGGCTCTGCTGCTCTCGGAAGGTGTGCTGGTAGCACACTCAGGAGGACAGCGCTGGGTCAGGTCACCCGGGGAAGGTTTTCTTTGCTGCCACGAAGGTGAAAACCCCTTTTCTGAAGAGGAAGGCTGCCTGCTGCCCGGAAGGTTTTCGCACTGGCTGCTGGCGAGGGCGTTTTTCAAGTGTGTAACAGCACAACAGCGTTATTGGCTCAGCTCCGTAGCGGTGCGTGGTGCTGAACCGTCAAAGAGACCCTGTCGCAAGCACTCTGGTTTGGAGAGGGCTCAGCGAGGCGCGGGGTGGAACGGGGTAGGAGAACTCTGAGACTCTTCGAGGGGGTGGGGGGTGTCTAACAGGGTTCTTGTGGCTACCGTTCGCCAAAACTTGGAGCATGGATCTTGTTAAAGAGACGGAAAGTTTAAAGGGATAAATAGGGGCTGAGTGGCTATTTCTTGGAAGCAAAGGAAATTTGTGAGGCCATGTCTGCTCTGCAGAAGAATTCTTCCGTCAGCCTCGCTGCATCTGCACCGTCGGTTGGGACAACCTCATGACAGCGCTCAGGGTGTGAATTTTTCACACCCTAAGCAACGTGTCTGCTTTGATCTCATTTTTAAATGTTAGACCAGGCCTAACTGACACTCCAGAGACACCAGTGAGGTTCAAACTGGTTTAAAACCCCGGTTTCAATAGGGGCTGGCACTGGTGGAACTCACTCTGTCAATTTTACATCCGCTTGTTACCCCAGTGCAGATCCCTTCCTGGAGTCCGCTGGAGGGAGCTCCTTCTCCATGGCTCTGAGTGAACTACAGGGAGAAGGGGGGGCCTGACGTTCCAGGGATTTCTACGGTGGAAAAGCCCCCAGCTTTCAGGTCTTGCTTATAGATGATAAAGAAGCAAAATATTGCCGCAAACCCAGCAGTGTGATTAACCCGACAACTGCACAGCTAGGCACATCAAAGTCAGGAAAGGCAAGAATTGAAGTTGCAGACACACCCTTAACTCTGCCCCATTGTACACATGCAGTCTATAAGAATACCGCATCTACTACATTTTCTTCTGCAACTTCAGATGCACGGTTTGCATCCTCTGGTACTGCATACCGCTCTGGGGGTCTGGTCCATAGCCCATTGAAGGCAGGGGGGGAATCACTGACTTCATGGATTTGGGATTAGGTCCTGTGTGTCCAGCACAATCCTTGTAAATCCCATACGTGAACTTTTCTTGAGTCATTTACTACAGATTAAGTACAGACTCAAGGGAAGGGGAAACGTGCCGGTGTGTACGGGCTGCCCTTGTTTCCAGCTAAGTTACCTGCTTCGTCCCCAAACTGCACCTCAGGAGTCTGTGCTGCAAATTGAAAAGAGAACGTCTATTACAGAGATGGTGACAATTATTAAAATCTGTGCCTGGGACCTTGTCAGGGGGAAAAGTCTGAATCAGCCACAAGGCACCGGACCACGATGAGAACAGAAATAGTGTAAGTGCACGAGGGAGAAACCCTGGTGAGACGCCACGCATGTGTCTGCGCCTTGAGAGGGTGTCGTGGTGTTTGAGCGCTTCTCCTCAGGCCACGTCTCCCTCGTGTGAGTCCAGCATCCAGCACGGCGGGGCCCTGATCCGGACACGATCCTTTCTGCGCTCCTGCAGACGCAGGCAGCAGCAGCCGGGAACTGTGCTGTTGTTGCGAGGAGGCACCACGAGGTGCCGCGATTCATCGTGGGCCAAGTGCTTTTGTTTTAGCGTCCACAGCTCCGTAGTGAAACTGGGGACGGAACCGTCGCTGTGGGTCTCGGAGCCTAGGGGCTTCAGCGGCCGAGGGCTTTCCGAAGGAGGAGAGCGGTCAGTAAGGACGACGGAGCGATTAGGGTGTGGGGGTGTCTCTCTCTCATGCACACACAGCGCTGGGGGTTTAGGAGGCAGTGAAGATGCAGGAGTGGAGCAGGCTGGAGACCGGGGCGCTGGCATGTGGCTCTGTGCATTGCTTGGCCTCCAGTAAGCACCAGTGTTAACGGCGTGATTGGCCAACGGGGCGAGATGGGTGCTTGTGGCTGCAGCTGTGTCTGATTTGAACATGGATGGTTGACTGGGAAATACAATGGGAAAAATCTTGCCTTGAAGATGTTAGTGGTGATATGGTCCAGCACTGGGCAGTCACTGGACTTCTTTGAGTACAGAGACCTTGGCTGCTTGGCACCTTGGCAAATGCACCATTCAAATTTCCAACACCCCTGTTTTGGTCCATGAATTTCGGGCTCCGTTCTCCACAGCGCAGCCCTGGGACGAGGACACTTCTCTGTCCGTCTTTGCGTCGCTCTGTGGTGCCGTTCTCCTTCAGCGTTCGGGGTCAGAGGCGATTCGGGACTTGTCAGTGGCTGATCTCACACTGGGGGAGCCTGATGGGCCCTGGTTGCTCCGGTAGCTCCAACACCCCCTGCTGCTCCCCGAGGCTTTCACAGCCCCGCTGTTGGTCATCTGGGTAGCAAGGAGGGTTCTTGGGAGCAGCCCCAGTGGAGGTTGTAGCCCTGGCAGTTCCAGGGGGCAGGATGATCCTGTGCGGATGGAGGTTGCCAGGTCTGCCTGGCTGCTCCCAGCTCCCGTCTGTGCCACTGGCTCTGTGCCCAGGGGAGAGGCTGGTGGGGCGGGGGGGCTGAGTTGCCGGCTTGCGGCATGCAGAGGGAGCCAAGGATGGGAGTGACGGGGCCAGGGAGAATTCCCTCCCCACATCATGCGCTTCCTTGGCTCCAGCTGCTCCGGGGAGAGCAGGCGTGCCGAGCCCGGCGCTGGGCCAGGGGATCAGGTCCCGCTGGGGCTGCAGGAATGGCACCGCTCTGGCAGTGACCCCGTGATCCAGGCAGGGCGGCCTGGTGGGGCACCCCACGCTGGCCGGGGCTGGATCCCACTGGGGCTCGGTCCTGATAGGATGAATTACCTGGGTCTATCGGACAGGCGGCCCCGCCAGCTGGGCCCTACGCACCCGGGGGGGCTTCTCCCCTTGTCCTGGGCATGCTGGGCACCTTTACTGTCTGCTCTGCTGGGGGCGGCTAGGGGAAGCCGGTACCTGCGAATGGGGCCCTGCCGGCACCTCCTAGCCCAGTGCCCCCTCGGTGCCCGCCCGCCCGCCTCGCCGCAGCAGGGCTAGGGTCAAGAGAAGCCGCTTGGGGCTGAGGCCCGATCGGTGACCTGCTGCCAAGGGCCCTGCTCTCAGAGACAGGGGTCTCCCTCAGGGATGGTGTCTTGGATCTGCCGGCCCGGACTGGCTCCTCTCCGAGCAGTGTCAGGCTGGGGTGCGTGTGAATCCGTCCGGCAGGGGCGCAGTGCCTGTGGGGGAAGAGCTGGGTGTATGCTGGGGGGAGGCAGATATGGGGCTGCGAGCTCTGTGCCGTTCTAACGCCTGCCTGGCCGGCCCCAGGACCAAGCCTTGGGGGTGCTGGGCGAGGCCAGGCTGGCCCTGGTTGAGCGGGCAGCAGGCCAGGTTGTGGGTGGAGCTGGCGGGTGGGGTTGCCGACCCGGCCAGGTGGCAGAGGGGGCTGGTATCCGTGTGGGAATGGCCAGAGGGCCCATCCCATCCCCCCCAGTGCCCATGGCTGGAGGGGGCAGAGGGATCTCTGGGAACGTGAGCCCCTGGGGCCGAATTGGGCCCGGAGAGCTCTCTGGGAGTGTTGGCTGGGCCAGTCCATGTGGGCAAAGCTCTGGCAGCCCCTGAAAACCGAGCAAAGAGCAAGGCACAGGCTTGTCATCCATCGGGGGCAGGGGGTAGGTCAGTGGTTCCTGACCCGGTGTCTGGAACCCGCGAGCTTCTGAGCCAGACCAACGAGCCTTGCACGGACCTCCCAGCCCCCTTGTCCGTCCCAGAACCGCCCTGGCCCTGCTCACCAGAGGAGCCAGCGTGGCCCAGGATGGGCCTGGCTCCCCTGGCCCCCCATGCCGTGCTACCCCTCTGAGATAGCGGTGACCCGAACGCCGCCTGCTGCCCCTGCCCCTGCCCTGAGCCTCTCCGGGGCGGCCGCCCGGCACCAGGTATTTATAATGGAGCTGGGAGTCTCTGGGCTCCTCAGTGCATCCAGCCTGGCCCCAGACACGCCGGCTCCAGGGCAGGCGGGGCAGGATCAGCCACCCC